TCAGACCCTGCCCCCACAAGGAACCCAGTACCAGATAGAAGGATTTACACTAGCTTGTAAACATTTTTCTTAGCAGCTTTAAAGCTGTACCTGTATAGTGTGTGCGCTACAGATTTTTTTTACAGTAGCATTTTAAGGTGAAACAATCTCCAGCCAAATCTGAAATGCTTTTTAAACCCTTTTAAGTGTGTTTGTGTCCATATGTATACGTGTGTCCATGTTACATCCTTACAATATAATAAAGTATTCATTTATTTTAAACATAAAGGTCCGTAGTGATTGTTATTACATTGCTGTTTCCAAATGCTGGGAAAGCTATTTAAGTGTGTCTGGGTTCTGGTGTAATCCAATTTGTGTGTGTGTTTGTAAAATAATGTGTGACAGAAACACAAGCAATCAGTTCCTATTAATTCTAAAAAACTCCCTTAGGATGTTTTCCAGCAGTTGCTAAAACAGCAGCTGAAAGTGATTTTGCAGTCCATCAGAGCACTGAAATGGCAATTCTCAGCCTCAGTGAAATACATATAAGAAAAAACTAAATATAGAAACATACCCATGACATCTTCACAGCCCTCATTGAAACGACAGCTCCACATCAAAGCAGACTGCCCCGAGAAGCCGGGGTCAGGAGGATTCAGAACTGCCCAGTGAGACCTCCAGGGATTTTTAGTAGATCACCGTACCTGCTCAGCCAGGTCATCGAGCATCCTTAGTGTTCTGCATTCTTGGGTTTTACTGATTTTTTTTTTCACTGATAAATTCCCTGATTTTTTTTTTAAGTCATTTGTTTTTTACTGATTTACAGCTGTTTTTCTATTCAAATCCCTGTTATGATCCTGAGATGTGAGCAATGGGGTACCCTCGGACCCGCACTGTTTAACATCTTCATCAGCAACTTGGACGAGGGGGTGGAAAGCATGCTGTCCAAGTTTGCTGATGACACTAAGATGTGGGGCGAGGTGGACACTTGAAGGGAGAGAGAGGCTGCAACTAGATTTAGACAGACTACAAAAGTGGGCAGACGAGAATAGGATGGGGTTCAACATAGACAAATGCAGGGTGCTGCACCTTGGGAGAAGGAATCCACAGCATACGTACAGGCTGGGGAGTTCCCCTCTTGCAAGCACAGAGGCGAAAAGGGATCTTGGAGTCATTATTGACTCCAGGATGAACATGAGCCGCTAATGCCAGACCGCAGCCAGCAAGGCCAGCCATACCTTGTCATGCATCCAAAGGTGAATCTCAAGCCGGTCCAGAGAGGTGATCCTCCCCCTCTATGCGAC